CGCTTCACCATGCAGGCTTTCTCAGGGGGAATCTATACAAACATAATTTAGTATTTACTACAGATAATAGAAAGACTCCTTGGTAAAAATTACTCCAGGATTATCAAAAATAGTATTAAAAATAGAGGATCAAAATTAATTTCCAAAAAAAAATACATATTGGTCAATATGCCATATGAGATCAACAAACTATACACTGGACATGAAGCAAGACAATGAAAAATATATGAAGACTGACTAGACTTAGTACTGGAACTGTCCACAGCCATTAAATTATTTTACAGTGGGGAATGATGCAGCATTTTTTATACATAAAGCAATTAGCTGAGCAAGGTCAGAAGTCCTAGTTTAACCCATGAGGTGCCAAAGCATGCTGCCTTAAAATCCACTCCATTTCCTTTTTTAACAGAACTTTTTCATCATGATAGTAAGGTTTATATAAGCCCCCAAAATTGAAATCATCCTATAAAATAATGTACCAAAGGTGCACCGACTATTCTGCGAAGTGTGTTAATCCTATGTTCTGTTAAGCGTGTCTGTAATTTCCTAGAGGTCTTCCCTACATATCTCTTATTGCAGGAACATCTGATGGCATATGCAACCATATCTGCATTCTTTTTATCAAACGGACTGATAGAACTTTTCGTATTTTGAGTTAGGTTACGGCACTGGCAGTGTCCAGATCTAAAATGGCCTTTGGGCAAACCTGTCCCTGGAATGGCTTTCTGTAGGCTCATGGGAAAAAAGGGGTTTGCTGTGAACCAGCTCATCTTTTAGACTGGATGTTCTTTTAAAGAGATTGTTGTTGTTTTTATCACAAAGCAAAACATCATATAGAATATTCCACTTTTTATATATGCTCTTTTTTAATTGTACACTGATGCGATGATAAGTTAAACGGACTGTTATACTCTCATTCTGCAATTTGCTTTTGCTGTTCCCTTCTGCAAAGCTGTAGCCTTATCAGATGCTGAAGATATGATCTGGGTAACCCCTGGTGGCAAGAGTTCATTTTCGGGTTCTTGCCTGCCTTCGATAATCTTCAGTGGTGGCACAATTTCTTCTGACTCAAGAATTGACTATATGGTAAATTGTTTTGATATGAGTTGGATGAAAACTATCAGACCTTAAAAAAGAGACTCTATCTGCAGGTTTTTGTGTATACTTGTCCATATCCTATGGCCTTGTTGTTGATCATGAAAACCCTGGCATCTCTCTTCAGAGGTAAAGTGCCTCTGAACTTCATCATAATGGCTAACAGCCATTAATAGTTCCATCCTATGGTCCTCTGACTGAAGGAGTAATGGGGCCAACGTTATTAAAGCTGCATCAGGGCTGTAGCCAGGATTTTTCGTTTTGTGGGGCAAATATTTTTGTGTGGGGCCACCTATTAAAGGTAAAGGTTCCCTTGCTCGAAAACCAGTCGAATCTGACTCTAGGGTTGCGGTGCTCATCTCCGTTTCCAAGCCAAAGAGCCAGCGCTGTCCAAAGATGTTTTCGTGGTCATGTGGCCGGCATGACTCAACACCAAGGTGCACGGAACGCTGTTCCCTTCCCACCGAAGTGGTCCCTATTTATCTACTTGCAATTTCTTGCTTTCGAACGGCTAGGCTGGCAGGAGCTGGAACTAGAGACGGGAGCTCACTCATCTTGCGGCACTCGGGTCTCGAACTGCTGAACTACTGACCTTCCACAGCCTGCAGTTCAGCGTCTTAACCACTTGAGCCACCGCAGCTCCTTTGGGGCCACCTATTAGCTTATACTTAAAAAATAATAAATAACTGGAGATTTTGGGAGTGGAGCCTTAGGAGGACGGGGTTTGGGGAGGGAAGAGACTTCGACGGGATAGGATGCCACAGAGTCCGCCTGAATATCAGGTGTAATGGCAGAGGATCGCCAGCCACGACCTGGAGACCGGCAAACCCAGGAGAGAGAAGCTGGCTTCCCCCCACCACCACCATCACCAACCCCAACCCTGGCCCGTAGCTAACATGGGGCCCACGGGGCCTGGCCCCCTAGTGTTTCTTCTGGGCCCCCTCGCTCCCGGGCCGCCCCCAAAGTGCTCCAGCTTACCACCTGCACTGTACTTCCATTTAATTAGCTGGTGGGACCCCCGAGGCCCCCTCCCAAAAAATTCCCTAGCTACGGGGCTGCCCCAACCCCACCCCACGAGCAGCAGGGCAGCTTCCCTTTCCTTCCCCAGCTCCTGGCAGCCACGGGGAGGCCTTGGAAGGGAAGGGAGGCTGCCCCGCCCCTTTTGCTTCTGCTCAGCTTCACTCCCCTCCACCAGCTGTTAAACCTAACAGCTGATCCTCTGGGAGTGAAACTGACCAGTGTTCCCTCTAAGCTGAGTCAGTGCGAGCTAGCTCACCGTTTTTTAGCCTCCGGCTCACACATTTTTGCCTCGGCTCAGGGAGGAGGGCTCCAGAGCAAACTAAATTATGCAGCAGCCAAATCGCTGGCTCACAACTTTAATGCCAGTAGCTCACAAAGGAGAATTTTTTGCTCACAAGACTCCACAGCTTAGAGGGAACATTGAAACTGACCAAAGGGGGTGGGGGTGCCTGGCATCATCCAATGGTGGGGCAGGGCTCATGGGTGATGGGGCTCCGCCCCCAAATGTCCCACCGCGGCCACAGGCCTGAGCTGCATGCCAAGTCAGATTCAAAGGTCGTTCTTGTCCAGCATTCTCATCCCCAAGATGGTAACCTGGGGAAACTTTCGAGGCCGGGGTGGGCTTAGCTCTTCTTGCTTGTTTGGATCCTGTTTTCTGAACTTGGAGGCCTGACCAGTCATTGATAGGATCTGTGTGACCCAACTCCACTAGTGGTCATCACAGCATCTCAGGGCAGTTAACTGCATCGTTTCCATTATGCATTCTATATGAAGTCAGCGCATCGCTGTTGAGTTGGGTTGGGTTTTGAACAAAGAAACGGGAGGGGAAGCCAATATGCTAAATACGTGACACCTTGGTTTCCAATCAGACTAGCAAGTTAGCTCCAAAGTTCCCGGGCATCCTATTGTCTAAAAAGATTGGTTACAAACAAACATGTGACTTAACAAACATCATTAACCCTGTAGATACTGAAGTGTTTTGGCTTGTAACACCCAACAATTCTATATGAAGTTAGTGGGAAATTGTTGAGTTGGGTTGGGTTTTTCCCCCTCCTCTTGAGTCTTTGACTGAGGAAGGGTCAAACAGAAATACCTACATGATCCTTGGCTCCTGAGCTAAATCCTGATGTTCCACCAGGTTTGTTTCACAGCAACAAACGTGGAGGCTGCCGCATGGTATGAACGCCCTAGGTATACAGGTGTGCATATATAAAGGAAATAATCCAGCTTCTAATCCTGTGCCCATATTGGAATTCAGGAGTGTACATGTGAATCCTCACAACCGCCCTGTGAGGTGGGTCCGATTGAATGAGTGACTGGCCAAGGTCTTCCTAATAGTAATGCCTAATAGCCATTCACAGTCCTGTCCTGCTTGGCTGGCTGGCTGGCTGCTGAGGGGTTCCCCCAGTTCTTATTGGCACACTGAGCTCAAGGAGCCTGGGGCTGAGTCAATGAATCTGGTGTGGGATTTGAATTCAGGAGCCCGGGCTTCCGCCCTGTAAATACTCAGGGTGATCTGATCCTCATCCTTCCCTCCAGCCCCGTAGCCAGAAATTTTGGATTGGTGGGGCATGGGGGAATTCAGTGAGGCAGCAGGGGCGGGAGAGGGGCTGCCCCATGCTTTCCTTGATTTCCAAGATGGCAGCCACCCCTCCCGCAAGATTGAAAGGGCCTGCTGATCAGCCGGAGGGCCCTTTAAATCTTGGGGGAGGGGCAGCAGCTGTTGTGGGGCGTGACTCTCGGTTGAGGGGGCGGAGCCCCGAACTATCCCACGGTAGCCAGGGGTCTGCTTCCCTCCAGCCTCAGTGGTTCCCCTTTCCAGGCTCAGGGTGCGTCCCTGTGAGGAGGAGGAGGAGGAATAGGAGGAATGCAGGGCGCTCTCAACGGGCACCGCAGCCCCCTTCTCTCCGGAGCACCTGCCAGCCCCGCAGGGCAGGCCCGCGCGGCCCTGCTCCCACACTGCGGCGGAGCGGAGGAGGAGGCGCAGCTGGCCGGAGGGCCCGCGGAGGGGATCCCCTGGGCGCCCCAGTCCCCCGATCGCCCTTCCGGCAGGTGCCCCGACGGCTTTGCGGTTGGCTGGTTGCGGAGCGCCACCTGGGCCGCCGGGCGCAGCGCTCCCCCCGCGGGGGCGGGCGGGCACGCCCTGCCTCCCCCGCCCAGAGCCGCCCTTCCCCGCCTCACCTCCCGCCTGCAGCTGGAGCAGGCGACGCCCAGAAACGCCACCCTCCGCCGCCACCACCATCATCCCTGTTGTATGGGAGTCTCCACGGCTTTCCCTTTCCCCGAGAGGCAGTATGGTATAGTGGTTAGAGCAGTTATGTCCTCTGCCATATGTGTCTCTCTGACCTGCAAAATCCCAGGGCGGCAATAGCAGAAACGCCCCTCGCCGCTCGCCCTCTTTCCACCTCCTCCTCCGCCTCCTCCCCTTCCTCCCCGGGCTCTCCGCCTCCGTCCCCCCCCCCCCCCGGACGAGGAGGGCGGCCAGGCGGGGGAGGGCTGGCCTCGCCCGCCCGCCCATGTGATTAAATGTCTCGAAATCTGCTTCTGATTTCCTCTGGGAGTTGGAGACACCCCCCCACCCCGCTCCAATCCGTGACTTTATTGAAAGCTTTTTCGCTCCATTGCAAAGCAGCCGCCGCCGCCGCCGCCGGGGCTCAGTTTCTCCACTGTTGCGTTTCTCGCTCTCTCTCCCCCCCCCCTCCTCCTCCTCCTCCTCCTTCGCCCTCCCTCCTTCCCTCCCTCCCGGCAGAGCAGCCCTTCATTGGGCAGTCGGCGAGGGGGAGCGAGAGAGGAGCGAAGCGGCTGGAGGATCCCCGGGCAGCGGGCGAAGGATTGAGATCCACACGGCGGGGCTTGGAGCGGCGTAAAGAGCGGCTCGGCTCAGTTCCCCTTTCTGCACCCAGCGCCACGAGCGTCTCTCTTTCCACGTTCCACCCCTTCGCCGTACAGCCAAGACTGGTTTTTTCGACTCTCTGGTGGGATTGCGCTCCTTTGACATCTCCGGGCTGGGGGCTACAAGGCAAACTTTCTACCTGTTCCGGGCACAGTAAGTCGCTTTCCTTTCTTCCCCCTAACTTGTTCAGGATTCTCTCATCGGAGAGACTGGTTTTAGATCCTTTCCCCCCCCCTTCCACAGTATTTTAAAGACTTGTTTATATGGAAGTGGAAAAGGCTCCCCCCCCTCTTTTTTCTTTTTTGCTTACTGCATGGGTTAAGACTCTGCTTTTCCACACCCCCACTGTTAATTCTTCCCTTTCCAAGTTAAATAGGATTTAATTGGGGTTTTTAAAAAAACTTTCCTTTCCATCTCTTCTCTCTCTTGTTTTTCTTTCCCCTCCTCCTTTTTTTATTTCCTGTGTAATCCTTTCATAGCTTCATCTTGGAATTTCAATAAAGAGATGGAACTTTTACAACCATTTCCATTGGGTCAAATGGTAGCTATGATGTGTGTGTATACACAGAAACGCACAAGGTGTATGGCTGTGTGGTGAGAAAGGGTTTTGGATTATATAACGTATTGGCAGCTTTTGGCCATGGTGTCTTGTGAAATACCTTTCTGTTGGGTTTGATGGATAACTTTCCTGTAAGGGAAGGTGGGTGTACTTAGCGGAGTACGGCAACAGTTGGGCAGGTTCTGAATTGAAACTTGGAGAGGGTGAGGCAACGAGAAGAGGTGGGTGTGTTCTGATCCGACTGAGGATAAAACCACGTTCTGGTGCTCCATGGCTGCAGGTGGACACTGGGAACGGTTTGTGGCTTGACACTGGCTTGGGCATAATATCATATGCGCTTGGGAGACCGCTTTGCTGAGTAGAAGTTTTGCAGATGGTGTGCATATGTGTGCACGCAGATCCACGCATAGTCTGGTCTCTGCCCCATTCGAACACATGTGCAAAACGGGATATTTGTGTGCGCGTGTGCATAGGGGGACCAGATGTCTTTGGAAAGATCACCCCTTACCCCGTGCTTTGGGAACAGGCACAGTCTGCTGGACTCCTGAGCAATGTTCCCGCTAAGCTGTGGAGTCTTGTGAGCAAAAATTCTACTTTGTGAGCTACTGGCATTAAAGTTGTGAGCAAGCAATTTGGCTGCTGCATCAATTAGTTTGCTCTGGAGCCCTCCTTCCTGAGCTAAGACCAAAATGTGTGAGCCGGAGGCTAAACAACTGTGAGCTAGCTCACACTGACTCAGCTTAGAGGGAACACTGCGTCCTGAGCCAGCCCCTTGGGAATGAGTGAAGCTTGTCTGAGGGCACAGGTGCAGTCTCGTGCTAGCCGCCTACCCGCTTCTGCTGGGATGGTGGAGGGGCCTTTTCCCTCTGAAACATGCCAGTCTCCTCTCTCTCCAGTGGAAGAGGCAGTGCGATTCCTAGAGCATCCCTTTCTTTTTGGACTTTTGGTCTGGCATCCTGGTGCTTTTGGACAGGGTTGAGTTCTCGAAGGCCCCCTGACCCTTGTTCCTGCAGACATGGGTGCATGTCTGAGTTAGTGTGAGCCGGCTCACAGTTTTTTAGCCTCCGGCTCACCCATTTTTGTCTTCGCTCTGGAAGGGATGGGCTCCAGAGCAAACTGATTTATGCAGCAGCCACATCATTTGCTCACAACTTTAATGCCAGTAGCTCACAAAGTAGAATTCTTGCTCACAAGACTCCACAGCTCAGAGGGAACATGGGTGCCCTGTACCCCCCAGAGCAGGTGGATCTAGTAGCTCTCTCGGGAACCGCATCAATCCTGTGCGTACAGATCCTAATCTAAAGATCTTGCCTCCCAGTTTCCCATGACATGTGTCTTTGAACCCATGCTAACTCACCCTTCCCGCGCCTCTTAAAACTCTATAGAGTTCTTTCCTTCATCCTTATTCCCAGGAGAATAGAAGCACTGATTTAATTAAAAGGGTGAATATGTCTGTTGGCACTGTAGAGTTGGCAGGTGGTAGCTTTAAAAAAAGACGCCGTCTGAAGCCGGGGTCATTAAAAAGAAGAGTTGTCACCTGAATGCTCCACGCAGCCCTTAAAACAGGACTGCCTCCTGAACGGGCTTGTGTTTCTCAAAGTAAGGCATGTGTGTGTGTGACATTGCAACCTGGTGGGAGGCATGATCTGTGCTCCGTTTTGGGTCGTGGTCTTTGCAAGAATGCGCTCCCCGCTTTGTGGAAGTTCCTTATTGCTAGATGACACTTTCAATTTGCAAAATGCGGTACAATCTTCAGTCTGGCCTCAAAGAACCCTGAGAGGCGGTTCGGCAGTGTTAGCATTTAATAGCTGGATGTTGGAAGTGAGAGAGAGAGAGAGACTTGGGTTATGTGTCTGTTGTAGCAGATTCATGCTGGACTCGGATCAAGCAGGGCTCAGACCCCCCCCCACCCTGAAGGGGGCAACCTGGGGGGGGGACAAAATGCCGTGGACCCAGCTCATCCTGGGGGGCCCATGGAGCTAACCCAGTCGTGTGATGTGTGTGAATATGATCGTTTGGGTTGGGTCTGGGCGGAGAGAGGTGGGTGGACGGGATCTTGGCCTGGGAGCTGGGGGCTCACTGGGGGATGCTGGCCCAGCTGCTACCTACCTCACAGCATCATTGTGAAGATAAAATGGAGACAACAACACCGTGTACACTACCTATAATGAAAACCAGGGCTATTTTTGGGCAGGAACGCACAGGAACGGAGTTCCGGCTGGCTCCTGAGTTGGCCACGCCCAGCAGGAACTCATTAGCATAATAGGCCACACCAAACAGCAGAAACACGTTAGGATTGGCTACATTAGGGGTGTGTGGCCTAACATGCAAAGGAGTTCCTGCTACAAAAAAAGCCCTGGGTTTGGACAACAAACAAGGTAAACAGAATAAGAAGCAAAAGGTGGGTGTGGCTGGATGACCACACTTTTCTGGTAACATGGGGGTGCGGCCTAATGTGCTAATGAGCTGTGCTGTCAGGGGGTGTGACCCGATATGCTAATGAGTTTCTGCTGTTGGGTGTGGCCTATTATACTAATGAGTTCCTGCTGGGCTTTTTCTACAAAAAAAGCCCTGATGAAAACAGAAGCAGGGAGGCCGTGGTGAAATTGTGGTTCATCTCCACACCTCTTAACTCTTCAGTATCTGGACTGATTTGTCTCTGTCAACATATTGGCTATGGTTGGCACAGTTGCTCTGTTTGTAAAGGTACTTGTCTTTCGAATGTCACTTTGGAATGTTGTACCCATCTTAACAGATATAGCAATGCATTTTCCCCCCCTGCGGTTAAGTCGCAGCTGACTCATGGCGACCCCTCATGGGGTTTTCAAGGCAAGAGACGTTCAGAGGTGGTTGGCCATTGCCTGCCTCTGCGAAGTGACCCTGGTATTCCTTGGAGGTCTCCCATTTAAATATTAGCCTGCTTAGCATCTGAGATCTGACAAGGCTATCCAGGTCAGGGCTGGCAATGTCATACTGCACAACTAAAGACTTTCGCATCCCCCTCCCCCCAGTTGTGTAGTTTGGTGTAGTGGTTAGGAGTTTGGCGTAGCCAGTCTTGTGTAGTGTAGCACAGACTCTCATCTGGGAGAACAGGGTTTGATTCGCCACTCCTCCACATGCAGCTGCTGGTGTGACCTTGGGTCAGTCACAAGTTCTTTCAGAGCTGTTCTCTCAAGGGCAGTTCTCGAGAGAGCTCTCTCAGCCTCCACTACCTCACAGGGTGTGTGTTGTGGGAAGGGAAAGGAGATTGTGAGCCGCTCTGAGACTCCTTCGCGTAGTGAGGGGCGGGGTATAAATCCAATCTCTTCTACGCTTTCTTTTTGTGTGTTTGTGTGTATTGTGAGCGGTTTTATGCTGTTTTGACTTATGCTATAGCAACAGCAAGCCTATGGCAAGTTATGCATACCTTCTGTTTGTATTTTAAACTAAGAATTGGCACCTCACAGTGTAGCAAACCGGATACAAGGGCATTCGTCAGATGTGAATCAGGCGCAAATGCTTTTCCCCACACAAGCAAATCAGTAGGAAAACTATTATGAATGAAGCAGTTCAGTTTGCTTCCATCCATTTGTTGTCACCTTTGCGTCTCCCTTTCCTCCTCTCCCTTTGTCCCGCCCCCACCGTCAGAATCTGTAGGTTCCTTGGGGCAGGGATTTGTCTTTGCACATATGGTTCTACATAAAATACCACCTACATTGAAGTACTATATAAGCAATAATAATTCCTCCCTTTTTTCTTGTCCGATTGCTTCAGCCCTTCCAACGTGCATTCAGCAGTTCTTATTAATGGCAGGCATCTTTTCAGAGTCTCCCCCTTTTGCTGTTCTGCACCTACGTTTATTAAACTACAAAGGCAGCCAGTTCAGTGGCTGCATGCCAGTCCCGCTCAGTTTAAAAGGGTGACAAAGCACAAAACCTGCCCCTAAAAAGGAAACAATAGCCCAGTTATTTGGGGAAAGCAAACTTGTGCATTAGCAGTAACATGAAAAGGAAAGCTCTCAGAGTTCCTGGAAGCAGATTGCTAAGGGCTGCAACGGGGGAGTGCCACTCAGTGCGAACGCAAAGGCATTCCAGTAGCAAATGGTTTCCTCTGCCTTAAGTGAATCACCCAAGGTCATGCAGATAGTCTGTGGCTGCAAGGGATTTTTATCATGACTCTTCCTGAACCCAGTCGATCGCTTCCAACCAACAAAACATGCCTTCTGTCTCTCAGCAGACTTGCCAAGTGAACTCATTGTTATCGGGACAAGGCTAGAGATTGTGTCAGACAGCTGTCAACGAGGCTTAGTTTTTACCTAAGCTTCCAGCCTCGGAGATCTGAGTGATCGCTGTAAAGATGGAAGTACTTCTGAGAGCATGCAGAGTGCATTTCTCCTACCTCTGAGCCACAGTTACCAAATCCCGAGGCATTTGGCATTAGGGGAGGTGGCATGGCCGTTGTGGCAGGCCCAGGCCCACCCCCCACCCTGCTCCACACACCTCTCCTTTTACAGGTTAGCTCTCAGCATAAAGAGAGCAGCTCTGGTGCAAAGTCCCTTTAGGGGGTGTCTCTCCAATCCATGCTGGAGAAATTAATTGCTGAGTTCTGGCTTCAG